ATCCGGAGCTCGTGAGAAGTCTAAGAACCGATCCAAATCAAGAGCCAGAAATTGCTACAATTATGATTGACCAGGTCACTTCAAAAGAGATTGCCCAAATCTAAGGAAGGGCAAAGATGAAAGCAGTGGCCAGAAGAATGACGACAACACAACCGCCATGGTGCAACACAATAATAATGTTGTCCTCTTTATAAATGAGGAAGAGGAATGCATGCACTTGTCAGGTCCAGAGTCGGAATGGGTAGTTGATACAACAACATCTTACCATGCCACACCGGTAAGAGATCTTTTTTGCAGATATGTAGCAGGTGATTTCAGCACTGTGAAAATGGGTAACACAAGTTACTCAAAGATTGCGGGGATCGGTGACATTTGTATCAAGACAAAATGTTGGATATACATTAGTTCTAAAGGGCGTGCGACATGTACTTGATTTGCGGATGAACTTGATCTCGGGAATTGCTTTAGACCGAGATGGATACGAGAACTATTTTGCAAATCAAAAGTGGAGAGTCACCAAGGGATCATTGGTAATTGCAAAGGGAGTTGCTCGTGGCACGTTGTACAGGACAAATGCAGAAATATGCCAAGGTGAATTGAACGCGACACAAGATGAGATTTCTGCAGATTTGTGGCACAAAAGAATGGGTCATATAAGCGAGAAGGGATTGCAAATTCTTGCCAAGAAATCACTCATTTCTTATGCCAAAGGTACAACGTTAAAACCTTGTGTAGTACTATTTATTTGGTAAGCAACATAGAGTCTCATTTCAGACATCGTCTGAAAGAAAATTGAATATACTTGATTTGGTATATTCTGATGTTTGTGGTCCAATGGAAATTGAATCGATGGGTGGTAACAAATATTTTGTTACTTTTATTGATGATGCTTCACGAAAATTATGGGTTTATATTTTGAAAACCAAAGATCAGGTGTTTCAAGTTTTCCAAAAGTTTCATGCTTTGGTGGAAAGGGAGACGGGCCAAAATAAGCGTCTCTGAAGTGACAATGGAGGTGAGTACACTTCAAGAGAATTTGAAGAGTATTGTTTAAGTCATGGGATCAAACATGAAAAGATAGTTCCTGGAACCCCACAACACAATGGAGTAGCCGAGAGGATGAACCACACCATTGTTGAGAAGGTGGGAAGCATGCTCAGAATGGCTTGACTGCCTAAGTCATTCTGGGGTGAAGCAGTTCAGACAACCTGTTACCTAATCAATAGGAGTCCATCAGTTCCATTGGAGTTTGACATCCTAGAGAGAGTTTGGACCAACAAGGAAGTGTCCTACTCACATCTAAAGGTGTTCGGTTGCAGAGCTTTTGCACATGTACCAAAGGAGCACGTACCAAAGGAGCAGAGAACAAAGCTGGATGATAAATCTGTTCTGTGCATATTCATCGGATATGGAGATGAAGAGTTCGGGTACAGATTGTGGGATCCGATAAAGAAGGTCATTAAAAGCAGAGATGTAATTTTCCGAGAAAGTGAAGTTGGAGTTGTAGATGATCAATCAGAGAAGACAAAGAATGGTATAATCCCTAACCTTGTTACCATTCCTTCTTCTTCTAACTATCCCACAAGTGCAGAAAGTACGGCCGACGAGGTTGCCGAGCAGGGGGAGCATCCTGATGAGGTTATTGAACAAAAGAAGCAACTTGATGATGGTGTCGAGCAAGTGGAGCACCCCACTCAGGAAGAAGAACAACCTCAACCTCTGAGGAGATCAGAGAGGCCAAGGGTAGAGTCATATAGGTACCCTTCCACAGAGTATGTCCTCATCAGTGATGAAGGGGCGCCAGAAAGTCTTAAGGAGGTGATGTCCCATCTAGAAAAGAACCAGTGGATGAAAGCCATGCAAGAAGAGATGAAATCTCTACAGAAAAATAGCACGTACAAGCTGGTTGAAATTACAAAGGGTAAAAGACCACTCAAATGCAAATGGGTCTTTAAACTCAAGAAAGATGGAAATGGCAAGTTGGTCAGATACAAAGCTCAATTGGTGGTAAAAGGCTTCGAGCAGAAGAAAGGTATTGATTTTGACGAAATTTTCTCACTTGTTGTCAAAATGACTTCTATTCGAACAATCTTGAGCTTAGCAGCTAGCCTAAATCTTGAAGTGGAGCAGTTGGACGTGAAAATTGCATTTCTTCACGGAGATTTGGAAGAGGAGATCTATATGGAGCAACCAGAAGGATTTGAAGTAGCTGAAAGGAAACACATGGTGTACAAGCTGAATAAGAGTCTTTATGGGCTGAAGCAGGCACCAAGGCAGTGGTACAAGAAGTTTGACTTATTCATGAAAAGTCAAACTTACACAAAGACATATTCTGATCCATGTTTATACTTCAAAAGATTTTCTGACAACTTTATTATTTTGTTGTTGTATGTGGATGGCATGTTAATTGTAGGAAAAAAACAAGGGGCTGATCGCAAAGTTGAAGGGAGATTTGTCCAAGTCATTTGATATGAAGGACTTGGGCCCAGCACAACAAATTCTGGGTATGAAGATAGTCAGAGAGAGAACAAGCAGAAAGTTGTGGCTATCTCAGGAGAAGTACATTGAACGTGTACTGGAATGCTTCAACATGAAGAATGCTAAGCCAGTCAGCACACCTCTTGCTAGTCATCTGAAGTTAAGCAAGGAGATGTGTCCTACAATAATGGAGGAAAAGGAAAGCATGACCAAAGTTCCTTATTCCTCTTAGACCTAATATTGCTCACGCAGTTAGTGTTGTCAGCAGGTTTCTTGAAAATCCTGGAAAAGAACACTGGGAAGCCGTCAAATGGATACTCAGGTACTTGAGAGGTACCATGGGAGATTGTTTGTGCTTTGGAGGATCTGATCCAATCTTGAAGGGCTATACAAATGCTGATATGGCAGGTGACATTGATAACAGAAAATCCACTACTGGATATTTGTTTACATTTTCAGGGGGAGCTATATCATGGCAGTCTAAGTTGCANGCACTCTCTACAACTGAAGCGGAGTATATTGCCGCTACTGAAGCTGGCAAGGAGATGATATGGTTGAAACGGTTCTTTCAAGAGCTTGGATTGCATCCGAAGGAGTATGTCGTCTATTGTGACAGCCAAAGTGCAATAGACCTTATCAAGAACTCCATGTACCATGCAAGGACCAAACACATCAACGTGAGATATCACTGGATTCGAGAAATGGTAGAGAATGAATTTCTACAAGTTGAGAATCCCACAGATATGCTGACCAAGGTGGTACCAAGAGACAAGTTCGAATTGTGCAAAGAACTTGTCGGCATGCACTCAAGCTAGAAGTCCGATGTTAACTCCTTCAGGTCAATGGGTCTGGAGGAGGAGATTGATGGGGTCCACACCCATTAATCGAAAAAAGAAAAGAAAGGGAATCTAATGATGGCAAGAGCAAGTTTTAGAGTTGGCAACCAATTTGCACCGCAAATTGCATAGTGCAAGTTGTAAAGTGAGATCCAATCTTCCGATTGGTTAATTGGGGCAGCCATCCCCTCTATATAACGAGAGCTTCAACTCTCATTTTATACACCAATCTTAGAGGAAAAATATATCTGAGAGTTAGAAAGAAAGAGTGAGGTTTCACGGACAAGGTATAAGAAAATAGTCTGTGAGAAAAATACAGAGTTAGCGATATTGTAGTGAGGTGAGAATATCAAAAGAGGATTATTTCTTTTGAGTGTTGTAGTGGTCTTTGGAGTATTTTACTCGGACCTACAAAGTGTAAAATTCCTTGCTATAGTGATATCAATTGCTCATCTCGGGGCCGTGGTTTTTCCCTTATTCAAAAGGGTTTTCCACGTAATAATCTTGGTGTCGTTGTCACTCTTTTATTCTTGTTAATTACCGTATCTCGGTGCTACATTATTATTCCGCTTTTATTACCGTGAATATTATTTTTGTGGGGGTTTATTCCCAACAAAAAATGTTGTAGACATTACCGATTGATTTCAACTAGACTAGGTAATTTCCATCGTTATATTAAACCAACGAACCCAGCCAAAAATTTAAAAGCAACATTCCAAAAGCAAAAGAGAGAATTTGTGGAGTGAAGAAACTCAAAATGTCACACCCTAAAACATAGAGGTACAAACCTGACGAGTTGACAATTAAAGTAGCGGACTTGTAAGTAAACTATTCTTTTTAACAGTTAATGCAACCAATTATATTGGAATAAGAACCAAAAAGCAATGCACTGGTACCTGCTTAGAGATGATAGTTTTTCTGTCACTGAATAGTTTCCTTCAATGAAAACAAAGAAGCAAATATTTCAGTACACGTCCGTCAACCATATATTCTAGTTCATAATATGATATGCCATGTAGCGATACCTTCCTATCAAATTGGAGGCAGAGTTGTTCTTTTTCCCAGACAACGGGGTACCCACTAGTCGTGCTTGCTGATTGGTGTGCTTTTTACTTTTCATTGTAGAGCTTGTCAATATCTGGCCAGCACTTTGACATGATCGTGAAGCCAAACTTGCTACATAAAGAGTATCTTGGCAAAGAATTGGATTCTAGAACAAAAAATGGAAGGGTGAGAAAAGGAATCTTTCAAAGCGACTTGGAATCTACACAGAATATCTAACCATGTTAGAATGAGAAAAGTCATTACCAAGCAGGTTAGCAGCAAAACATGATTGGAGCCACCAAGAGATTCCTGAAGCATCCGAGTGAGTTTGCTTTCTCGATAAGGAACACGCTTTTCATTTGTGTTCAGAGCGTACACCACGTTCATAATGCCATATAAAGACTTGTTTATTCTAGCACTTTCAGTAAGCGTAATTCCATCTTTGCTGCTTCTTCTGGAATCCTCATAGCCTGAGAGCATAATAATACAGTGAAGATAACTAAAAAGCAATTATTCGGCAAAAGAGAAAATCTCTGCAACTTTTGGAGGTTTAGGACTAGCTAACCTGCCAAATCCACAAAGTTCATCGCATTGGGACATTTACTACCCTGGATGTCATCAGCAGATGCTATATGTATCATTAATCCTTTGTGACTCCTTTTGAGTATTTGGATTGGTGTCTTTGGTACTGAATAGCATGGTGCAGCCAAACAAGCACTTAGATCATGAAAGTGTGAAATGGAATCCACAGCGGCCTACGTAAAAGAAAAGAAGAGAGCGATCTTAACCATAACAATGTGCAATATCTCAATATTTTACTCCTAGAATTGGATTACTTTAACTTGCCTTAGAAAGTCCTTTGAGCTTTATTTTTCCTTGAGAATCTTCAAGCACTTGAACTTCGGGATGATTAGGGTCCAAAAGATCATAGACATGATCCTGGAACACCTCATAAAAGGAAACGAGGACTGCTTTCTGGGCATCCTTTGTTTGCGAAAGGATCTCAGCTATTGCCATTGCTGCCAAACCTTCATTGTCCACAGAACCCTAAAATAGAGAAACAATATCCTCAGTTTCAAAGTAACAGAAGGTTATTATTAGAGAAGCAGAGGAGAAACTGAGATACATGGAAAAAGAACCCACTTATTGGCAAAATGAAGACATACCTGGATTGTTTGGGTTTTTCCACTGCCTCTTGCCCCATATGCAATAATGGATGCATTTCGACCGCTGAGAACTTCTGCTATCAGTGGCTTTACCTCTCTTGAGAATACTACAGCATTATCCTCGTCTTGTTCATAGCAATTATCTAATTCATATCTATCTTTGCGACTGCAAAATACTAGAGAATCTCAAAACATTTCACCAAAAAAAAAAGGAAGCCTAGCACCAATCAATGTCAAAAGAAACAAAATCATGTAGAAAACACATTTACAAATGGGAATCTTCGGCATAACAAAATTGATGCCCTAAAGCTAAATTTCGATAAGAGGCCTAAAACTTATTTGATGAATATATATTTTTATTTACCGTTCATTCTTCTAGCTTTTTGAGGTGCAAAATGAAATCGCGGCAAATCGTATGTATTTACATTCAAATGCATTTTTATCTACTCATTCTTATATAGCTTATTCAGGCAAATCGTGTTAAAATTGAAAAATGAAATCAGTCTTAAACAGAAAAAAAAATGAATCTATGTGGAGGAGGAATAATAAAAAACAAAAGGAAGATAAATGTATTAATTAGTGAGAGAGAAAAACTTACATAATTTGTTCATTTTAAACTACTACAATCAAATTCCAAAAACAAATGCAAAATTTGAAACAATAATTGTATATATATACTATTATATCTAATAGTAGTAAGAATTGGGGCTTTTGATATCTTGGGGCCTAATGCAGCAGGCTTAACCTCAACCCGCGCCTGTAACTAAAACAAACTAATATTGGGTTTACTTCAGTAAATTTAAAACCGGAACGAAAAAGGGTATGTTAAAATCAAAACAATTGAACATAATCAACGTATCGATACAATTTATAATTACCTACTCCCTTCATCTCCGAATGAGATTGTAACTTTTTCGGGATCCGAATCGCTCTCTTTGTGCCGGCACACAGTGACCCACGGTTTCAAATCTCGACCCGATATTTCAGACTCTTGGTCTGTAAATCCTCGGATTTTTCCAACAATTCGTACTCTGCGCGAGATTCTTGGGCCAGCGATGGGTAGTTTGAAGCGATTTGAATCGGGCGTTGACAAAGCCATGGAAGAAATCAGAGCTTGAAATTTTACAATTATGGAGATTTTGGACGAATTAGAGTGATAGAGTGGATTCTCTGGTCAGTGGTAGTGAACTAGTGATGTATTATGTCTAGAGAAGTAGCCGTTGTTAGGGTTCAATTTTCAAAATCTTCGTCAGTCCTACCTGGCGCTCTTCCACGCTCCTCAGGAAGACTTTATCATTCATGATAAATCCCGCTAAATAACGCCATAATGTAAATATACTGTTATAAAAATAATTATAATGTAAGATATCCATTGGTTACTCTGCTATAAATAATTTTTTTGAAGAATATTATCCGTTTGGTACCCTATTGAAGTTTATCTACAAGCAGCTGATGCAGGCAGGTTACAAGCAACTCAATGAAATGATTTGCAGCAGATTTTTATTAAACAGACAGGTTGCAAGCAGCTTATGCAACACAGCTTACAAGCAGCTCAAGAAAAGCCTCGCAACTGCTTCCTGAAAAGCCTCGCAGCTGCTTCCTTTCTTCTATAAATAGAGGAATTTTCGGTTCATTATGAACATAAGTTTTAAGTTGAATAAAATACCAATCTCCCTCTATACTTGTCTTCAGTTTATTTCTTTTAGTCTTTATTTTATAACACGTTATCAGCACGAGACTCTGCCATTTTGAGCACTTACATCGAATTTAATTTTTATTTCAGTGTTCATCTCCAATGTAAGGCGACACTCTTATGTCCGTGGTCAAATCTTGTTCATTCTGAGCATCATAAGGCAGATTATATCCTTGAGGTGGTGAGTTTTTCTTCTTGACAGTAGTGATGTAGATATCACTTACATATGGAGTGGCCAAATTTGCGTAATTTAATTTGAGTCTTTTGCTTATATTTTAATATCTTTATCATCGCTTGCTTGGTTATATGTTACGTATACAGTACCTATTTTGGTATTTGTTTTCATCCTTACTATCTTAATAAAGGATTACAAAGTGGATAACATTGTTAGATCCACTTAAACTCCAACAGAGTTTGTAAGAAATATACAACCACCAGAAGTGGTTATATTTCGTATATCTCATCGTAACTAAATTTTGTTAACCACCAGAAGTGGTATATGCCTATGACCACCAGAAGTGATAATTTAGGCTTTCTATGGTTACAATTAAAGATAAGCTAGAGAAATATTCTCTATATTACATGCACGCTTCGATTTGCTCCCGAAGTAGTAAATATTTTAAAAGAGGTTGAAGCATCACAATTTGATGTAATTAATGCGCGTTTAGATAATTATGTTCGATTTCCTGAAGGATGAGAATTTTTGATAAATATTAATCAATTCCCTGAAGTGAATGTGATAATATTAATAAAGTCGTAAATATGAACACACTCTTGTTGTAAATATATTACAATTCACCTCCAGAAGAGTTAATATGATTGAGACAATATATACTCAATATTTCGTATTTTAAATTTGCTCCTGAAGAAGTAACACAATTGAAATTTTCTCCTGAAGTAGGAAAATATTTTGAAGCAGTATCTTTATGTGCTTAAACAAAATAATGAGCTATTCAAAGTTATTTTTGAAGTACATTTTTATTCCCTAGAGTGAATGAAGAAATACCACAACTCACCTCCTGAAGAGGTCGAATAATAGATGATATAAATATTATTTTTGTAGCATAAAGATCATTGCCACACGTACTTGTTGTACGTAAAACATCTTGGATAATTTTATTAAGTATCATTCTAAGGCAAAAGCATTCTTGTATTCTACTACAATCACATTAATATATTATGGTTAGTTATTGAGTTCCCCGAAGGAAATAACAACTTGTGTATCTTTCCTTAAAAGATGCAATGACTATGTGGTTGCCGTATTGATACAAAATATTCAGATGTTAATGATATTTCTCTTTTGTCACAAAGTTAGTGGTAGAAATATTAAAATTCTTAATTTTCGTCATTTATAAATTTAGAATTAACTTTATATTGTTCATTTGATTATGATTTTCTCTCATGACACCAGAAGTGTCTGAACAATATTTGATAGTACAACAAAAGCTCCTGAAGAGCTAACTGTTTGTCTAGAAGACACATGACACAAGTAGTGTCTGAATAATATTTGATTGTGGACAATAAATGAAAGGCTCCCGAAGAGCTTATTTGTCATTATTGTGGTCAAAATATATGTTATGATAAACCGAAGTTTACTAATACATATGACTGTCATACTGAGACTATAAATGATTGAAAGATTGAAAATTTTCATGTTTCCACAATCATATGGGGTAAATATGTATGTGAGAAGATACCTGCCTTATTCTTCAAGTTTGTACTACATCATGTATCACAATATACCAGAAGTTTACTAATACAAAAGCAGTCACAGTAAATCAGAAATTTACTGATACAAAAGTAGCCATAGTAAATCAAAAGTTTACTGATGCAAAAGTTTATGCCATAGTAAACCAGAAGTTTACTTAGAGATAGCACATGCCAGGATAAACTTGAAGTTTTCATTTGCCATTTTTAAATGATCTATTTGAGAATTCAGATAAGCATATACTGAAGAACTAGAAGATTCTTCAAGAATTCTCTTGTGTTGCTTGTTCTCATAATAACTTGATTATACTAGCTAAAGTTGGGACTAAAATCCCTGAATTCTGGAATATATAAAAGGTTAATATGGGCCCATTCACCTATCATGTGAACCACTTATAGATACATATATGAGATGGTTACATGTGTGTTTATTATCAACCTACAGTTTGGCATTTGAAATTGCCTTTCTCAATTAAGAGCATAATTTTCAGATTATGAAATCAAGATAGTTCATCTTGATGATGCTGGTTTATATCCAAGCTAGTTTAGAATTGAATACCTCCTATTAATGGCTAAACTATTGCTTATGAGAATAAAGCCTTATGTGTTGGTTCAAGATTTTCTACATTGCATACAACAACACTTGTATGCATCAGACCAATAAAATATGATAAGTCATCCCCTCACAATTGGTTTAGGATCATAAAACAAATATTTTTACTATCTAATAACTTTTAATGTGTGGTATATGATTAATTACTCTACCACAATGCACAAAGATATATTTCCCAAAGAAGATTGGGGATATGAGTTAGTTTTTCTAACATTTGGGGGATTGAATAAAACAGCTGGAAAATATGCTTTATGAATCGAATTATCATTAATATGATCCTCACTTAGAAGATAATTCAAGTCAAATGCCAGAAGCATTTGCTGATCCAAAATTAAATATCATATTTCAGCTGCAAATGCTCCTATTAAAATTAAAGTCACTGAATGATAGGGTTTACTGTACGCATGAAGCGGGGTAGACCACTCGGTTCCAACGATAACAATCCTTGAAAAGAATAGGAGCAAATGATCAAAATGATCATAATAAGGAGGAAATAAGTTCTAGAAGAACCCATGACATAGCATTTAATGAAACTCCAGAAGAAGTTTAGGTACTTGAAAATAAAGAAAGTGATGAGATCTCAACAAGTTATGTCGCTTGCAAACTGATACGAAATGATCGTCGACGATATATTTGATACAATATAGTGCACAATATTGTAAAAGATTGTGAGGATCAGATTTGTAGTCCAGACACCTGAAGATGTCATGCCATTTAAATGTAAGTCATAACCTATATCACTCATTTGATTAATTCTATATGAAGATTCCTGAAGGATTTGAAATGCATGAAGCAAATTCAAAATCTCGAAAAATGTATTTAATCAGATTACAAAGATATTTGTATGGTTTAAAGCAATCTGGGCGCATGTAGTATAATCGCCTTAGTGAATATCTGTTGAAAGAAGATTACATAAATGATGTTATTTGTCCATGTATTTTTATAAAGAAAATGGGTTGATGACATAAATCTTGTTAGAACTCCAGAAGAGCTCCAAAAGGTAATTGAATATCTTAAGAAAGAATTTGAGATGAAAGATCTTGGAAAGACAAAACTTTATCTTGGTCTGCAAATTCAAGATTTAGCAGACGAGATCTTTATCCATCAATCTGTCAATACATAAAGGGTCTTAAAACACTTTTACATGGACAAAGCGCACCCATTGAGTACACCAATGATTGTTCGATCACTTGAAATGAATAAGGACCCGTTCCGATCTCCAGAAGAGGATGAGGAACTCCTTGGTCCTGAAACACCCTATCTTAGTGCAATTGGTGCACTTATGTATCTTGCTAATGCTACAAGGTCTGACATAGAATTTTCTAATAATTTACTAGCAAGATATAGCTCTTCTCCTACACGAAGACATTGGAATGGGATTAACCATATATTGCGATATTTAAAGGGAACTCTTGATATGGGTTTGTTTTATGCTAACAAAGGTAGTGCAGATCTTGTTGGTTATACAGATGCAGATTATTTATCTGATCCCCATAAAGCTCGATCTCAAATCGGGTACGTGTTTACATGTGGAGGTATTTTCATATCATGGTGCTCCACAAAGGAATCAATTGTTGCTACTTCTTCAAATCATGCTGAGATAATAGCTATTCATGAAGCAAGTAGGGAATGCATATGGTTGAGATTATTGATTCATTTTATTAAAGAAAAATATGGTTTGGAATGTGATAAAACAAAAACCACAATATTATACGAATACGATGTTGCATGCATAGCTCAATTAAAGGGAGGATTTATAAAAGGAGATAGAACAAAGCACATTTCACCAAAATTATTCTACACACATGATCTTTAAAAAAATGGTGACATCGATGTGAAACAAATCCGTTCAAGTGACAATCTAGCAGATTTGTCCACTAAATCTTTGCCAACTTTAACTTTTGAGAAGGTGGTATACAAGATTGATATGCAGAGACTCAAATATTTGCAACAAGGTTTTCATCAGGGGGAGTGAAATACGCGTTGTACTCTTTTTTCCTTACTAAGGTTTTTCCCATGGGGTTTTTCTTGTAAGGTTTTTAATGAGGCAGCTAGAATTGCCTATTACTAAATATGTGCACTCTTTTTTCTTTCACTAGAATTTTCCCACTGGGTTTTTCCTAGTAATGTTTTAATGAGGCACAATATCTTTTAATGAACATCCAAGGGGGAGTGTTATGAAAATAATTATAATGTGGATGTCCATTTATTACTCCGCTATAGATAATCTTCCTGAAGAAGATTATCCGTTTGGTACTCTATTGAAGTTTATCTACAAGCAGCTGA